AGAGGGTGCATCAGCCTCCATGGGGAGGAAGTCAAAAAAATGAAGATGGTGGTCACAACAGTGTGATTGAAACTTTACCCCTTTTTGTGTGTGCTGATGTCACACGCATATACAAAGAGTCAGGGCTTCAATCATAGTGCTGCGACTGTCCTTGTGCCTTCTTCAAATCGTCAAACGGCAATAGACAACGTTCCCATTATTTCTCTTTATAGATGTTCATATATAAGAAAGCCTTATGCACATAATTTCATCTACCTAATCTACTTTCTTTGGCTTCATGCTCTGTGTGTGTGTGTGTGCGCGCGCGCATGTCTCCATTTGGTTTTATTCTCTTTGGTCTCTTCACTCAGGGGGCAAAAGAATCAATTCAAAATGCAAGCTAGGGACTAAGAAACACATTCTCCTGATGTCCTAGGAGAAGGCTCTGCTGGAGGAAGGGGCCATCGTGTTCATAGCTGCACACACAATGCTGCTTGCCCAGTGTAGAATTAAGTCCCTAGTTCACTTTCTCTTGATATCAAAATCCCTTAAGTCAACCACTGAGATAAAATAGAAGTGAGATTAAATCAAAAATCCTGCTTGTTCAGTGCAAAGAGCATTTGACCAGGGAAAGGCTTGTTGCAATAATTTCATAGGAAAGGACCTCCTCAGGATCACAACGTGAATCCATGATTTTCTGTTAAAGGAAAAGACGTATTTGCTATGTTTAGTTTGAATCTAAAACTAACTGAGGGGGAGATTTGTTTCCTGGCATCTTACAGGCAAGTCAATATTTTCCATGTTTCGACTGTTTTTTCTGTAACCTTGGAGCATGCGCATCTTTTATAACCTAAGATTTTACTGGGTTTTATAAAATAATTTAAGCTTCAGGTTTTTATTACTTTTTTTTTTTTTCAGGCTATGGACCTGGGCAGGTTTTGATGCCATAGTACTTTCTGTATTGTTATTTCACACCTAGAAAATCTAGGCCCTTAAAGCCTCTGATGACCAGTCCTTGTTTTATAAAATAATTTAAGCTTCAGGTTTTTATTACTTTTTTTTTTTTTCAGGCTATGGACCTGGGCAGGTTTTGATGCCATAGTACTTTCTGTATTGTTATTTCACACCTAGAAAATCTAGGCCCTTAAAGCCTCTGATGACCAGTCCTTGCTTTGTCTTAAGTTTCATAACCCCCCTCTCCCAATCATTCTTTGGACAAATCTCTGGTATCTTTGCACTGTTAGTAGTTCCTCTGAATCAGTTACAGCTTTCAAAATGGACTAATTGCTGTTTCTCTTTTATGATTGTTTCAAAGGACAACGTTCTTTACTGCTTAGTGACATGAGGACTGTATCTCTTTGTTGATTTGTGCTTGTTGATTTGTTTTCATGCTTGAGGACACCTAAGAAGGTGTCTGGGGTCTCATGATGGAAACGACTATGAGTCCAGCTGGAAAATGCCTCATAAACAGCATTTTGGTTTTGTTTCCAGGCACAACCAAAGTATAATTATCTTTCAGCAGAAATATTATAGTCTTTGCATAATATGACATGGCCAATGTCAGAACCTGGGATCCTTTGGTGGCTCCAGAAACCTGACACTTGCTGGGATTGTTGCTAACCACAGCTAACATAACATATAATTGGACCCTGGCAGTTGCCCCAGCTTCCATATATATTTTTATAATACCCTAATGGAATATCAGTTTGCAGCAATATAATAAGAAATTAAAATGACTACCAGCTTCACCGGCCAGTGCATCTTCTAGTACTGTGGGGTCACTTTATCCAGCTCTCCCTGATCTTCAAGTCAGAGCTGCAATGCAGCTTCTAAAAGCTTCTGATATCATGTATGTGTCTGAGTTACCTATTTTCTTCTATGATTATCTCTCCCAAGCAAATATGCTGTTTTGAAGTCTTCCTTCCTTGTGGTCAAACAGATAGCATTCTACTAAGCTGGCCACATTTCAGAACTGTTGAATGCCATGGCTTCTTGTAATTTCTCAAAACATCAAGCTTTTAGAGAACAATTTTAGTTGCTAGAATGCATTTTGTGCAAAACAGGATGCCTATGAAAGGAGTGACCTTGTAAATGATGGAATGTGATGCTTAAATACAACTTCATAGTGCTTTCAATGATATACAGTATTGGAAAAAAATAACTACTGTTGAGTTTGTTTAAATCTAGAAACCGTATACCATATTGGATCAATGGCTAGAAGCATAACATGTTTAGAACACATTCAGTCAAGTGCTAAGTTTAACTGGTCTATCTTAGAGCATTCATTTATTAGTACAGCACAGCTTTTCCCAAACTGGCACTCTAGGCACATTAGATTGCAAATTCCCATCATCCACAGCCTTCACATCCATTGGCCTTCTTGGGTGGGGAAGGGGGTGCTGGTCAAACACATTTGGAGAGCATGAGATTGGGATTATTTATTTATTTATTAAATTTATATGCTGCCCATGTCCCCCAGAGATAAATTGGGATACAATATCTGTAATTTTATCATAGAGATTCAATTCTTTTTCATGATTTATTTTATTATTCTCTCATATTCATATCTATGGATTTTGTTTCCTTTTTTACACTTTTTTAAAAATAGCCTATTTATATTATATAAGCAATATATTAAGTATGTGTATTTCACAGTTTCATGCTTTTATACATAATTACATTCAATTTTGATGCTTTCCTTTGACTTAAAGAACCTCCCCAATAACACACGACAGACACTCGCATTTTAAGTTCTGAGAACTGCAGTGCGATATTGGAGAAATGTACATTTATTATAGAACCAAAAATACAACTGCAGAATCCAAGATTTCTAACCATGTTTTCTCACTTACTGTGTCTAGAGTTATCCCGGCTCCCTTCTCTTTGTGTGATGCCTGTGGACAGAGGTCTTTGCAAAGCAAATGAGAAAAGGTTCTTCTACAGCCTCACTACTGGAAGGTGCCGTCCATTCAGCTACACTGGATGTGGTGGAAATGAAAATAACTTTACCTCTAGGAAGTCATGTTTGCAGATGTGTAAGAAAGGTACAACCACAAGGCTTTGCAATGCTTGGATTGAAATATTCTCCCCTAAAGAAAAATATTACTACTGAGTACACAAGTCAATCAAATTTGTCCTGTTATTCATCTTAAACAAGCACCTACAAAACGTGTTTTGGAAGCCCTAAAGGCAGCCATTGGCAAAGCAGAATAGGAAAGACCCAGGCTTTCTCCTGATAGGAGTTGGAGTGCAACACACAAACCTTTCAGGTTTGCAATAGCAACCAATCAGTATGCTTCATGAATCTAATGAGGCTGAAAGCCTCTTCAGATGTTGCTGAATCTCAACTTTAAACTTCCCTCCCTATCAGCAGTGCTGGCTAAGGCTCCTAGGAGTTGTACTTCAACACACTCAGGAGGGCTACAGGCCCCTTTCCCTGTTCTGTTTTGAAGCATCTTCTGAATTCCACATATGTGGAATGTGGAGAAGCCTGATATTCTGCTTATATAATCAAGTCTAATTCCAACTAACCTAGTTCACACTAATTTTGTCAGACTACCGAATATACCTAAGGTTTGGGAAGTGGGAGGGGGGACTTGTATGATGGCACTGACTTCCATAGAGGAACAGTGGGATACAAATGTAATAAATCATCTGGAGGTACTCCTGGTTAGAGATAGATATAACTTTTTTTTTTCCAGAGGGCTGGAGATGATTCCAAAGAGAACTATCTCCTTGTGTTTTTGATACCAGTCTGTCTGTCTGTCTGTCTGTCTGTCTGTCTGTCTTTCCCTCCCTCCCTCCCTCCATTCATTCATTCATTCATTCATTCATTCATTCATTCATTCAGTGTATAGGCCACTCCAATCTTTAATGATTCTGGGAAGATTAAAAAATAAAATAAAAAAATATGAATCTATGAAACCTAAAAGAAGAATTTGGAGATTCTTTAAATGAATCTCTGTCACCCACTCTGACCCAAAGCTTGGGGGAATAGCCAGGTCTTGAGAGCTTGTTTAATTAAGGTCAGGGTGGGGATTATACAAATCTCAGGGGGAATACTGTTCCAGAGGGCAAGTGCCATGACAGAGAAGGCCCACTTTCTGCCCCCCTCCAAGAAGAGTATGTCTTTGCCATTGATAAACAGGCTTTTGGACTGTTAATATTTTATTTGTTCTAAAGAAAGAGAAGTGTGTAGGTACACCATAGGCATCAAAATCTCTGTCATAATACTTTCAGCTACCTGAACAATTGCTGTATATTGTCAGTCGTAAATCGTGACAGTTTTTTTTTTTAAATCTATAACAAGTCCCACTTTAAGGAGTTTGTAATGTATAATTAGACAAAAGGGAAACAACAAAAGGAGAGGAGGGAAATAGAGGTGGAGAAAAAAAGAGAAGATTATGGCCTGTCGTTTAATACATTTTGTCCTTTTCTTTTTTTTCCCCAGGTTTCATTCCAAAGAAAGGACAAAAAGGTGTCATGAGAATACGCCGGAAAAGAAAGAAACAAGTAGTGAAGCTGGTGGATGGGGAAATTGTTATTGAAAGGATTTAAGTACTATATAATTAAACACTCTGAAACTGTTTCATTTTAAGACATTGACTATCCTTAT